GCAGGAGGAAGTCATCCCCATCCTGCGTAGCAGTCAAGGAGCAGGATCTTCTTTTATGTTGTGATGCGGGAGAAATTCATCTTCGTTCTGTGTAGCATACAGGCAATGAGATCTTCTTTCATATCACAGTGCAAAAGAAAGTTGTATCTGTCCTGCATAATAAGTGATTAAAGAGATATTCTTTCGCATTGTGCTACATCATAAAGTTGTCTCTATCCTGCATAAAAAGCGATCAACATGATCTTCTTTTGTGTCACTGAGATGAAGAAAGTTATCTATGTCCCTTCCCAGAAAGTCATTCAAGATCTTCTTACTTGTACTACTGCGCATTTCGATGGAGATGAAGAAATGCTAGAGTTTTCCCATAACAATTTGAGGGGGAGATTTTCATGTTTTTGTGGCGACGATATCTCTTGTTGCCTTTGTGTCAGTTCTTCTTTGTATTTATGGTTTTTTAAATCATTTGATGTAACATTTTCTTATGATAATAATGTATTTATTTATACGTTTTTAGCATTGCTTCTAAGGTTGTTGTGGCTTCTTAATCGTGCAAAATTCTACAATTAAAGTTAGCACACTCACTTTATAAAATAAAAAATTGCATAGCTTTTGATGCTTGTGCCTTCCGAGGTTGTGCCCTCTCATACTTATGCCTTATATGAGCTTACAATGAACTAATGCCTTCTGAGGCGTGTATATTTCTGAGTTTTTTTTATGTACCTGTGTCTGCTGAGGCTTCTAGCATTCTGAGGTCTTTCATATACTTGTGCCTTCTGAAGCTTGTTAAGGTCTATGAGTGGAGACCGTGTCAACCACTTGCTCTCATGGAGTGGTTCTAGTGAGGACCTTGTCCACCACTAGCATCCCATCTAAACTTGCCTCTTGGGCTCAACTTCCATGATCATTGTAGCTTCTCATCGAGTCTTACCTCATAAGCTCGACTTCTAGGGGTACCAGATCTTCCCTTGTGACTTGCCTTTTAGGCTTGACTTATAGGGGCATAGTAGCTTCCCATTGAGTTTTGCCTCTTGAGCTTAACTTCAAAGGGCATCATATCTTCATATCGAGTTGTTTCTCTTTGGCTCGATTTCCAGAGGCATTATAGTTTCTAATCGATTTTTGCCTCTTGGGCTCAACTTATGGGGGTATCATAACTTCTCATCGAGTCTTGTCTCTAGTACTCTACTTTTAGGGTTACCAGATCTTCCCATCAAGACTTGCCTTTTGGGCTCAACTTCTAGGGGCATGGTGGAGATCTTATTTGCAGCTTGCCCTCAAAGGGA